TACATCTACATCATATACATATACATCATATACATCTACATCTACATCATATACATATACATCATATACATCTACATCATATACATATACACATGCACATGCACATGCACATACAGATACATCACCCTTTTGCCAGTTTGTTCTCATTGCTTCATGCTTCTAGCTCAAGCTGTGAGCTCTTAGCTCCTGTTCCTGCTGCCATGCCTGCTGCTTTTGTCCATAATGGATTCTTATCGTCCTGGAAATGTATGGCCAAATAAGACCTTTCTTCTATAAGCTGCTTTGGTCATGATGTTTTTTTTTTTGTTGTTGTTGTTGTTTTGTTTTTGTTTTTTTTTTTTGGTTTTTCGAGACTGGGTTTCTCTGTGTAGCCTGGGTTGTCCTGGAACTTACTCTGTAGACCAGGCTGGCCCCGAACTCAAAAATCCGCCTGCCTCTGGTCATGATGTTTTATCACAGCAATGGAACGGGAAGCAACACACACATCAGTTTAAATAAATGAAACAGGATCTCTCAGCATCGTCTCTCATATCCATTATCTGCTCTTATTCCAGAATCTTGTGTCCAAATGACTCTGTGTAACAGCGCAAGCCTGAATACAAGGTCTTAGTCCATTCGGGCTGCTATGACCATGTGCCAAAGACTAGTGTGATGGTTACTTTGTTATCAGCATGACGGAATTCAGCATTTTCTAAGAGATGCACTGTCACAGATGGTACCAGCTCATGGCGTGTGATTTAAGACAGAATAAAAAAGCAGGGAAGGAGGAAATCATCAGAATATTAGCGTTTACCTCTCTTTGCTTCCTGACTGTGATGTGACGTAATGTTTTACATTCTTGCCACCATGATGTACTGGCTAGCTTTTTATGTTTGTTGTTTGTTTGTTTGTTTGGCTTTTGTCAATTTGATACAAGCTAGAGTTATCTGGGACGAGGAACCTCAGTTGAGAAAGTGCCTCGATTAGATTGCTTTTAGGCAAGTCTGTTGGACAATTTCTAAATTGATGTGGAAGGGCCTGGACCACTGTGGGCTGTCAAAGCATTTATAAAACCTTAATAAAGTTAAAAAAACTTTAATAAGTTTTAGTTTTTAAAAACATCTAAGCCTACAGGCAGTGCTGGTCCTGGTTGGTATAAGAAAGCAAACTGAGCAAGCAGTAAGTGGAATTTGTCCACAGCTTCTGCGTCAGTGCCCAACACCAGGTTCCTGACCTGACTTCTGTTCATAATATGCTAAAAGATAACATAAACCCTTTCCTCCCCTGGTTGCCTTTGGTCCTGGTCTTTACGACAGCAATTGAAACTTAATTTAAGCCATGAGACTTCCCCACTATGCTGGGTTATGTTTTCAAAATTATCACTGTATTTTTTGTTACTTTATTGGGTTCTTATATCTACCACGCCTCTCCACTCCAATCCCTTCCAGCCCCCCAACATTAGGTAGGAGAGAAAGAAGATTAGGGGAGAAATGGGGCATAGACCTCTTTCTACTACCTCCTGCTGAATAGGGGCATTGAGTTCCTTGAGGCAAGTCCAGTCTTCATGGACAGGATATCCAGTTTCTTCTTCTTTTTGATCAAGACTACTTGACAGACCACCACAACTGCAGTCAGTAGCAGCAGGGGTAGCAGCTGCCGCCACAGGTCCTCTTTGGGCTCCCCCATTTATACCCTCTCCAGAGTCCTCTGCAGTGGGCAAAAATCACAACCCTTCCTAGAGTTTGAGCCAAATCATAATCAGTGGCTGTGGACAATCTGAAGCAGCCTCATATCCCACACCTGAGATTAAAACAAAAACACATTCATGTAACATCACTGGGTTTTTTAAAGA